GGGGGGGGGGGGGTTAAGAAGAATGTGTAAGGATTGATTGGCAGAACCTCCAGAGCACTGGAAATGAGCCAGTGACTGGTAAACCTTGAAGGACTATGAAGCCCTAGGTGAGAAGCATCCTCACTCTGGCCCCCTACCCTTGGTCCTCATGCCCTTAACTTTCCAGGTAGAGGACTTGAAGTCTCAGCTGGTTTCCAAGGATGACTCTCGGAGGCTGGTGGAGCAGGAGGTTCAGGAGAAGCTGAGAGAGGCCCAGGAGTGTAGCCGAATTCAGAAGGAATTGGAGAGAGACAAAGCCAGGTAGACTAGACAAGCCACTGAGTTGGCTTTTGCTGGTCTGGCTACAGTGGTCACTATGAGGTTGACAGTTCTTTGCTCAGGTCAGCTAGCCTTTCATGTCTCCAGGTGGGTAGGACGCAGACCCTGTCTTCAAACCCTACATTTTATTTACTCAGTAATTATTTAGACAAATGCACTATGCCAGGGGATGGGATACAGTGGTAAACAACAAAGTATGGACCTTGTTTCAACAGAATTTACAGTTTTGTTGGGAAGACATTAATCAAATAATCCCCAAAATAAATTATTGCAGATTATGTTACATGGTGTGGAGAAAAGAAACAGGATGCTGTGATAGAAATGGTGGTGGGCTGGGGAGGGAGATCTACTTTAGACATTAGGGAAGGCCTTCCCCAGGAGGTTGCTTTTAAACTGATCATTGCCGAATGAAATGGAGCCACCATGCAAAGGCATGGGGGAGTTCTGTATAGTAGGGATAGAAATCACATACAGTAGCTCTGGGCAGATCGAAGCTTGGGGTGTTTGGGGAACCTGAAGGTGTCACATGACTGGAGCCTTCTGACTGAGGAGAGAGTGGCTTGAGCTAGGTAGGTCCATACCATTCAGGATTCTGTAGGTCACAGGAAGGAGTTCGTAGTTATTTTAGGTTTGGTAGGAAACCTTTGCAAGGTTTTAAGCCAGCAACTCAACACAATCCAATTTATGGTGTAGTAGAAGGGATAGTGATGACACGAAACATCAGGAATGAGGTCAGGTCACCCAGAATGAGAAGCAGCATGTATTCTCAGGGCCGGAGAAGTTTGGGGGAAACAAATCCTTTCACAGATGAAACTAGGGACAGGAAGACAAGTTAGAACGAATTGGACATGTTGAATTTGAGGTTTGATATAGATATATCTGGAATTTCCCAGAGAAGAATAAACTATGAAATTGAAATGAGGTATCATATGCGAGAAGTATCTAGGAGCACTCAGTAGGTGCTCAATAAATAGAAGTTTTTATTGTTACACTGTAACCATTATCATTTTTATTTTGATTATCCATGCTTTATTTAGAACAGTCAGATGAAAAGGTAGCTCTTCATTCCATGAGAGGATGGCCTAGCCCTCTTACCCCTCTCTTTTCAGCCTGACTCTGTCTCTGGTGGAAAAGGAACGGAGACTCCTTGTTTTAGAAGAAGCTGATTCTGTTCGACAGCAGGAGCTGAGCTCCCTGCGCCAGGGCATGCAGGAGGCCCAGGGAGGGCAGAAAGAGCTCAGTGCCCAGGTACTTCTTGCCTGGTGATGGGCCCTATTCCATGGTGGAAGCCTGCCGCTGGAGTGGGAGATGGTTGCTCAGGGTCAGTTCTTGAAAAGGACCTTTCTCTTTTTCCTCATTGCAGGGCATGCTGGGACTTCAGCAGCCCTGGCAGGAGGGGAAGCCAGGACTGGGCAGGGTGGGGGTTTTGGGACTGACACAGAGTTGAGAACTGCTCCCTCTGGGGAACCTGATGTCCTAGAACATAGTGCCCAAAGGGGTCGAGCTCACGCAGGCCTGGTTCAAGCATGGCCATTTCCCAGTATGCATGGTCTACTGGGCAAGACACAGCAGGGGAGCATAAGTATTACTCCAGATCAGGTAGGCAGTAAGGAACTGAGTCTGCTCACAGGAGGACCTTAGTGCTTGGGTGCAGAGAAAAGATGGAACTGGAAGGGGACAAGTGAGAGAGGAAGAGATAGACAGTAGAGTGCAGCAGATTAGGACCCAGATCCTGAGTTTGACTCCCAGCTCTACTGCTTCTGGGTTGTGTGAGCATCAGTTTCTTCATCCATAAAACAAGGGTGATAATTGTTAACCATTATAGGTAAATATAAAGTGTCATGAACACAATAAGCATTCAGTAAATGATAGCCATTATTATTGTGACTGATCTTATTAGGTTCAGTGTCAGGGTTTCAGGCAGAGTTCTAATCAGAGCAGGGAGTTGGCATAGGAGTGAGTAGGTGGGCATGCAGGTCAGACCTAGGGTAGCACTCATTGCAGAGCCCTCCCTACCTGCTGGAGAGCTGAGCCTACTGAAATCCTCCCAGCTCTGATCAAGGTTTGTGCAGGAATTGAGTAGTGTCAGGCCAGGGAGGAGCTGGTATCCACTCCCTGCTCAGAGTGACCATACTTCCTCCCTGCAGGTGGAATTACTGAAGCATGAGGTGAAGGAAAAAGAAGCTGATTTTCTGGCCCAGGAAGCACAGCTGCTGGAGGAGCTGGAGGCATCTCGAGTAACAGAGCAGCAACTGCGAGCTTCCTTGTGGGCCCAGGAAGCCAAGGCAGCCCAGCTACAGCTGCAACTGCGCAGCATGGAGAGCCAGCTGGAGGCGCTGGCCACAGAGCAGCAGCCTGGGCACCATGCCCAGGCTCAGCTAGCTAGCCTCTATTCTGTCCTGCAGCATGCCCTGGGGTCTGTTTGTGAGAGCAGGCCTGAGCTGAGTGGCGGGGGAGACTCTGCTCCCTCCCTCTGGGGCCCTGAGCCAGGTGAGGCAGCCACCTGAGAACTCAGTCCTTTGGGCCAAAGCCAGGCCTAGCTCCCAGGGAGGGAGGGAGGGGAATGCTATTCCTTAGACAGTATGCCTCAAGGCTAAGGCCACAGACTTTGGAATTAATCCAGAGTTTGAACCCCCCAGCTCTGTCATTTGCTAGATGTGTGTCCTTGGGCAAGTCACCTGTCCTCTCCGAGCTTGATTTTCTCAACTAAAAATGAAGATGTTAGAAGTACCCACCTCTCAGGATTTTTCTAAGGAGTTAGTGAGATTACAGAGTAAAGTAGCTCACACAGTTCCTGGCACTTATTAAATGCCTAGCAAATGATAGCTAGCATTACCTAGTGCCCACCACAGTGCCTGGCACAGAAGTATGCAGAAAGTGCATGATGAATGAACTGCTTAGAAAGGCTTTGAGGAGAGGAGGGATCAGTGGGAAGGCCAAGGCCATGTCTGGGGAGGTATGGCTGTTTTTTTTCATAGTGCAACCAAGTCAGGAGGTATTTCCTCATTTTTTCAGACCAGAATGGAGCAAGGATCCTTTTTAAGAGAGGGCCCCTCCTGTCGGCTCTCTCAGCTGAGACAGTGGCATCTGCCCTCAACAAGCTCCACCAAGACCTGTGGAAGACTCAGCAGGCCCGGGTATGTTTCCTGCTCTCCTCCCTTGACCTCTTCATCTCCCCGGAAAAGATTCATGAAGCAGTTTGACCTGTTCTCTTCCTGAGATCAGGTTGGGATGAGTTCCACCTCTATCACTTACTACCTGGCAACAATGAACAAAGTGTTTCATTTCATGGGCATCGGTTTTGCTAGTAAAGTCAGGCAAATCATGCCTGTCTCACAAGGTTGAGAGTATTAGATCATTGAAGGCCTTATGTGAGCCCTGTAAACTAAAAAACCTGTACAGATGTGTGACATTGTTTGGCATCATTTTTCTCTCACCCTGAATAATTCTTGGTGCCAAGACTTCCAAGAAAAAAGCCAATAAATTGATACCACTGAGATTTGAGGTTGCCATTTATAGGAATATGCTAAGCCTAAGACTGAACTAAATGTCCTATAAATTGCACCTCACTGTAAAGTGAACCAATCAGCCAATAAAAATCAAATGCCACCATATTCTAGCAACTAGGGACACAAAATACAGAAAGCCCTGATCTCTGCCCTCAAGAAGGCTCATGACATGGCCGAGGAGCCAAACTGCATTCTAAGATAAAGCAGAATGGATAGAATTAACTGGATCAATAACAGATGCAGTGATGATAATAGGAGAAAGGGACAATTCATTCTGACTTGAGGAAGGTCAGAAGAAAGGAAGAATGACCTCTGAGCTAAGCTCTGAAGGAGGAGTTTAGAGAAAGGAGAGGTGACCCTATGCTAAGACTTTAGCAGGAGTTCTGTTTCAAATGACACAGATGGGACAGAAGGATATTCTAGGCTCCAGCTGGAGCAGAGCTTGTCATCACTTCAGGAAGCCAAGTGGATACAGGTTCAGAAGTAAATAACCCAGCAATATGGGAGTAGGTCCTGCTGGCACCCCCACAGAGGCTGAGAGGGAGGAGAGGGCTTGGGCCCTGAACTGGGATAGCTTTGTGGGAGAAGAGGAACTTGAGTTTAGCCATGCCCTTTCTTTCCCAGGATGATCTGAGGGATAGGGCTCAGAAGCTGGAACAGCGTCTCACTGATACAGAAGCTGAGAAGAGCCAGGTCCACAAAGAGTTGCAGGATCTGCAGAGACAACTGTCCCAGAACCAGGAAGGTGAGGAGCTCAAGGCAGGCAGGGGGATTTGGAGGAAAAAGAGAGGAAAGACAGGAAGCCCAGAAACGGGCAGGAACAGGCCTAGCAGCTACTCTTTACTGCTTACCCACAACTGTGAGAAGATACCTAGAGCCATCTCCAAAGAGGGGATGACCCTGTGAACTATTTTCTGCTTCGTGTGGCCTTTGAGGGCCATCCTGGCAGAGGGATTAGGAGGGACAGATTTGGTGAATTGAGAAGTTGCTGGTGAGGCTTCCGTTTTCTGTCTGCAGATTAAAAATTGGCATTCCAGGGCCAGGACTGTGAGGGCATTATAAAATTCTTTATCTTTTGTCATTTATCCGTGTTAGTTATTTTTGTCATCTTCAACTATGTCCCCAAGATGATTTAACCTTTGACAGCAGGATTATGGGCTATTTGGGAGATAGCAAGGAGGGGGGTCTGGGGAGAATGTATCTGAGCCACAGCTAAGGGCTGAAAAGGGCAGTGACTACTTGGAAAGGAAAGGAGAGAAGAGGGTCTTGAGGCTCAAGGTTCTACTATAGAAGAGAAGAAGACAGCTTGGGGATGGGTCTGGGTCTTGAAAGTATCCCAGAAATCTCCCTGAGAGACACACACAGCTGGGTTCTGGTGTATTTTACAGACATGGTAGGGATGGGGGCAGCTAGCAGAGCAACCCTGGTCTCCAGGAACCTCAGCAAAATCATAGAATTGGGGAATGGCAAGGATCTCCAGGGTCATCTAGCTCAACCCTGCCTGGAATCCAGGGTTGTAGTTCTCTATAGGAACAGGATGAGGAGTTGTTAGGATGATTATCAGGCAGTGCTGGGACTGGGCAGCAAACACAGACATGAGTCTGAAAGCAGCTGGAGTCTAGACAAACAGGACAGCTGGCAGATGGGTGATGTCTCTGTGAAACAGGATATAATTCTCTCCTTGGCCTTCTTCTCCTTTGATTCTGTTCCCCATTCTCCATCTGCCTCTACCTCCCGCTTTTTCCTCCACCCCCAACCATGGGCCTTGCTCTTCTACCTCTTCTCTTCCCAAAGAGAAATCCAAGTGGGAAGAAAAGCAAAAGTCCCTAGAGTCTGAGCTGATGGAATTGCGCGAAACTGTGGCATCCTTACAGAGTTGCCTACGGCAAGCAGAGCTGCAAGGAATGGAAGCCCAGGTATGGTGGTACTGGTGTGGGGAAGGGGGTTGCTTCAGGAGTGGTCCCTCAGGACCCACCTCTAGCTCCCAGACCTATCTTGGCCCATAGTCCTACCCCATTCATATGTAATGCCCAATTTCCTTAGCAGTGTCTGTTTCCCTGGCTGTCCCCACGTCCCTGAGGGCCACTATTAAGGCCCCAGTGAATCCTCCTTCAATTATTTTTCTGAATTAAGGTTGAAACTTTTTTCCCTCACCCTGAAGGACCAGAGTCCAGGATGGCTTATTTGCACCAGGCTTTCTCCTCTAGGCATAGCAGAGCCTTGGGACATGGTAGGGATGTTCTTTTACAATAGTAGCTTAAGTGGAATGAACAAGTTCTTTTGGTCCAAGTGTTTGATGGTGCTGGTGCTACAAAGTAAGGAAAGAAAGGGCCTGTGTTGGAGTGCTGGTATCAAGGAAGTGCAGTCTGAGGTGGCTGTGCATTTTGTTTTCCAGAATGAGCGAGAGTTACTTCAGGCAGCCAAGGAGAACCTGACAGCCCAGGTGCAACATCTGGAAGCATCTGTCGCAGAAGCCAGGGCTCAGGCAAGTGCTGCTGGGGTCCTGGAAGAAGACCTGCGAACTGTTCGCTCAGCCCTGAAACTGAAAAATGAGGAGGTGGAGAGTGAGCGCGAGAGAGCCCAGACTCTGCAGGAGCAGGGCGAGCTAAAGATGGCCCAAGGGAAGGCTTTGCAGGAGAATCTGACTCTCCTGGCCCAGGCCCTATCAGAAAGAGAAGGGGAAGTGGAAGCTTTGCAGGAAAAAATCCAGGAACTGGAGAGGCAGCGGGAAATGCAAAAGGCGGCTTTGGAATTGCTGTCTCTAGACCTAAAGAAGAGGAACCAAGAGGTGGATCTGCAGCAGGAACAGATTCATGAGCTAGAGAGGTGCAGGTCTGTTTTAGAGCATCTGCCCATGGCCGTCCAGGAGCGAGAGCAGAAGCTGACTGCGCAGAGGGAGCAGATCAAAGAGCTTGAGAAGGATCAAGAGACACAGAGGAATGTCATGGAGCATCAGCGTCTAGAACTTGAGAGGAAGGACGAAGTGATTGGGTCCCAGAAAGGACAGATTCAGGATCTGAAGAAGCAGCTGGTTACCCTGGAGTGCCTGGCCCTGGAACTGGAGGAAAACCATCACAAAATGGAGTGCCAACAAAAGGCAATTGAGGAGCTGGAGGGCCAGAGGGAGATGCAAAGGGTGGCTCTGACCCACCTTACGCTGGACCTAGAGGAAAGGAGCCAGGAGTTGCAGGTGCAAAGCAGCCAGGTCCACAAGCTGGAGAGCCATAGCAGCCTCCTGGCCAGAGAGCTCCAGGAGAAGGACCAGGAGGTAAAGTCCCAGCGAGAACAGATTGAGGAGCTGCAGAGGCAGAAAGAGCGTCTGACTCAGGACCTCCAGAGGAGGGACCAGGAGATGATGCTGCAGAAGGAGAGGATTCAGGTCCTAGAAGATCAGAGGACACTGCAGACCAAGATCCTAGAGGAGGACCTGGAACAGATCAAGCTTTCCTTGAGAGAGCGAGGCCGGGAACTGGCCTCTCAAAGGCAGCTGATGCAGGAGCGGGGGGAGGAAGGGAAGGGCCAGAATAAAGCACAGCGAGGGAGCCTCGAGCACATGAAGCTGATCCTGCGTGATAAGGAGAAGGAGGTGGAATGCCAGCAGGAGCGTATCCGGGAACTCCAGGAACACAAGGGCCAGTTGGAGCAGCAGCTCCAGGGCCTACACAGGAAGGTAGGTGAGACCAGCCTACTCCTGACCCAGCGAGAGCAGGAGATAGTGGTCCTGCAGCAGCACCTGCAGGAAGCCAGGGAACGGGGAGAGCTGAAAGAGCAGTCACTTCAGGGTCAGCTAGAAGAGGCCCAGAGAGCTCTGGCCCAGAGGGACCAGGAGCTCGAGGCCCTGCAGCAGCAACAGCAGCAGGCCCAGGGACAGGAGGAGAATGTGAAGGAAAAGGCAAGTGCACTGCAGAGAGATCTGGAGCAGGCCCATGTGACACTAAAAGAGCTCCAGGGAGAGCTTGAGGACCACAAGGAACATGTGCGAAGGCTCCAGGAAGAGCTGACAGTGGAGGGACAGCGGGCACAGGCCCTGGAGGAGGTGTTGGGTGATCTAAGGGCTGAGTCTCAGGACAAGGAGAAGGCTCTGCTGGCCCTCCAGCAACAGTGTGCAGAGCGGGCCCAGGAGTATGAGGCGGAGGCCAAGGCCCTGCAGGACAGCCTGCTGCAGGCAGAGGCAATGCTCAAGGAACGGGACCGGGAGCTGGAGGCCCTGTGGGCAGATAGCCAGTCCTCCCAGCATCGGGAGGAGGCTGCCCGGGGCCAGGCTGAGGGTCTGCAGGAAGCCCTCAGCAAGGCTCAGGCTGCCCTGCAGGAGAAAGAGCAGCATCTCCTTGGGCAGGCAGAACTGAGTCGCAACCTGGAGGCCAGCACTGCCACCTTGCAGGCTGCCCTGGACTCCTGCCAGGCACAAGCTCGGCAGCTGGAGGAGGTCCTAAGGAAGCGGGAAGGTGAGATCCAGGACCGGGATCTCCGACACCAGGCTGCCGTGCAGGAGCTCCAGCAGGCACTTGCGCAAAGGGATGGAGAACTGAGACATCAGAAGAAACAGAGGCAGCTGCTGGAGAAGTCTCTGGCCCAGAGGCTCCGAGAGGATGTGATCCAAGAGAAGCAGAATCTGGGGCAGGAGAGAGAAGAGGAAGAGATGAGGGGCCTCCGTGAGAGCCTAAGGGAGCTACAGCTGACTCTAGCCCAAAAGGAAGAGGAGATCCTGGAGCTGAGAGAGCAAAGGAAGAATCTGGAGACCTCAGTCCACAGCCACAAAGCCTCCCCAGTGGAGGAGCCCTCTGCAAAATTTGATTCTTTAGAACCCAGGCTGCAGCAGGAACTGGAGCGATTACAGGCAGCCTTGAGGCAGACGGAGGCCAGGGAAATCGAGTGGAGGGAGAAGGCCCAGGACTTGGCACTGTCCCTGGCCCAGAGCAAGGCCAGTGTCAGCAGTCTGCAGGAAGTAGCCATGTTCCTCCAAGCCTCTGTCCTGGAGCGGGACTCAGAACAGCAGAGGCTGCAGGTGAGTCATCAGTGGGTTGTAAGAACCAGCGGCCAGAGCCCTGGGTGGCTGAACTCAGGCTGCCTGCCACCCTCCACTTGTGCACCTCAGGGGGTGGGAAAGCTGAGATCACAACCACTCAGCGTAAGTGGAACCCAGGTTATGGTGCTGGTTTGGGGGGATGCAAAGAGAATAAGACCCACAGTCCCTGCCTTCACAGAGCTTACAGCTTAGGGGGTAAGCAGTTAGAAGGCAGTGCCTAATTGTAATCAGTGCCTCTTTGGGGAAGTTCAGTGTGCTCTGAGCAGGTTAGAGGGACACCCTATCTTTCCTGGGGGTGAGTCCCGAAGGGCTTCCTTGTAAAAGTGATGTTTAAGGTTAGATCTGAGGAAATCAGCAAGGAATTAGCCAAGCAAAGGAGGAAGAGGAGCTTTCTGGGTAAGACACAGAACGTGGACTCTCTGTGTAGGGAGTTCAGGCTCCTGGAATCTAGAAGAGGAGTTGGCAAGAGAAGAGAGCAGGGGCCCCATCATTCAGGGCTTGTAAATCATATTAAGGATGGGAAATAGATGAAGGGTTTAGGGCAGGGGAGTGACATGATCAGATATAGTTAAGAAGGATAGCTCAGGCTGCTGTGTGAAGCAACAGTAGACCTGCGGAGACCAACTAGAAGTCAGGGGAGAGATGGTGACCTGAGATAGTAAGTGTGGTCAGTGGGCCTAGATGATCATAGGACACCAGGCTGTTGCTTAGCTAAGAGACTGGGGAGTAAAGAAAGGACAGAAAGAAGTCAGACCCCAGGTTTCTGCTCACTGAGATGCACGAAGGCAGGTTTGGGGAAGAGCAGAATGATGAGTTTGGTTTGGAAATGGAGTGAGGTCCCTGTGAGACATGCAAGGGGAGAGGTCCATCAGGCAGGTCTGTAAAGAGATCTGAAGGTGAAGGATGAAACTGACTAGAGAGACTTGGGTCATCAGCAGTTAGGAATAAGTGGGCTCCTCGGTGGAACGGTGAGTGAGGAAGGAAGTGGACCTTAGGGTATAACATTTAACCTCAAGGCCAGGGGCCATGTCTGAGCCATCTCTGCACTGCCAGCACTGAGCACAAGGCCCACACAGAGTAGGCAGGCAGGAAAGCTGGGTTGGCTGTTGGACACAGAGAGGCGTTATCTCTTTTGCTAAGAGGAAGCAGGCCCACTTTTCCTGGGAGATTGGGCCCAGAGAACCCCCTTCGTCATCTCAGACGCACCACTCTCCAGGGTCTTGCTTTCTGGGAGCTCACAGAGCTCTGCTCTGGTTAAAGGGCAACATGCAGAGAAGGGTTTACATTTATGAACTTTGGAATGAAGTTCCTGGTTTTGTGGTACAGTTCTATAGTTATTAGCTGTGTGACCCTAGGTAAGTGCCTTCACTTCTCTGACCCTTGGCTTTCTCATGGATAAAATAGGGACTGATGGTACCAGCTCCATAGGGCCATTTTGTGTATGAAATGAAATAGTAAGTACAAAGTGCATAGGAAGGAAACATTCAATAAGCGGAACAACTTTCCTATTCCAGGCCCGTTCTTACAGGCACAGAACAAGTAAGGTATACAGCTGGCAGGAGGGCACTTCCTGTCCCTATTTTTGGGTTACTGAGCATCATTTACTCAGTACTGTAGCTCAGGTCAGGGTCTCTCCTGCCATACCCACTTAAGGACATCTTTCAGGTGCAGCCCTTCATCACAGTGGTGCCATTTTTTATTTTAAGCATTTTATATTCCGGCACTGTTACTCTCACTTTCTCCCACAACAATCCTGAAATGTAGGAACTGTTATTATTTTCATTTTATAGTTGAGAAGTGACAGTTCAGAGGTTGAATAACTTGTCCAAGGTCATACAGCTAGTAAGTGGCAGAACTAGAATTAGATCCAGGCAGCCTTTTTACCATGAAGCTCTTCCTCTCTCCCAGACAACCTCCACCCACATGCACACTCACCTGTCTCTCTTCTTGACCGCTATCACTTATGAAACGTAGGTGCCTGGCACATATTTAGCACTAGGTTCCCTGCATAACTAAAGGGATTTAACTCCAAAGGTTTGCTCTGTGCTTCATGGAGCATGTAGTCATTTTACAAATGAGGAAACGGGTTTGAAGAGAACCATCTCCTGACCAAAGTCATCCAGCTAATAAGTGATGACGTAATACCCAGCTCTGTGTGGCTCAGAGTCCGTGCTCTTTCCACAACACCTCAGTGCTCCACATTCTCACTTAGCTTATGGGAGATCTAAAGCAAGGCACGTTTTAATCTTATCCCACCATGCATCCTTGTTTTATCCAACTGTGAAATTAAGGTTCTGCACTAGAATAGCTCAGAGGCTCCAGGACACACAAGATTATACCCTGATGAGGAAATTGAACTGAGGATGGAGGGTGGAAAGAGTCTGGATCTGAGGTTGTCATGACGTGATTTTGTTCCACACCCTGATACCCCAGGATGAGTTGGAGTTCACCAGACAGGCTCTGGAGAAGGAGCAGCTGCACAGCCCTGGCCCTGCCAGCAGAGCAGAATGGGGGCCCAGAGGAGAGGCAGGTGTACAGCTGGGGGAGGTGAGCTGCGGGCCTGGTGGGAACAGACGGCCCAAGAGGGAGCTCCTGTCCAGGGGGCTTGTCCTCTTCTCTTGGGAATTGCATCTTGAATCCAGACCTGCCAGATTGGTCCCTTCACCCTCTCTCTGTTCACCACCTAAGGGGCCTGCCCAGGTGAGATTCACATGTCTCTCCCACAGGTCTCAGGAGTAAAGGCAGAGCCTAGTGCTGGGATGGAGGAGAAGCAGCCATGGGGACAAAGGCTTGAGCACCTACAACAAGCAGTGGCACAGCTGGAGGTTGACCGGAGCAGGCTGCAGCGCCACAACCTCCAGCTGCGGGCCACCTTGGAGCAGGTAACTCTGCCCTCATCTCCCTCCTCCGGGGTCCAGTGGGCATGATCTCTACTGGTGCAGCCTCTGGAGCAGGGGCTGGTATACTGCAGCTTCAGGGCCATATTCTGCCTGCTGCCTATTTCTGAAAATAAAGTTTTACAGGAACACAGCCATGCCCATTCAGTCATGTATTGTCTACAGCTGCTCTCAAGCTACAGTAATGGAGTTGACTAGTTCCCACAGAGATCAAATGGCCCACAAAGCCCAATACCACAGAAAATGTTTGCTAACCCTTGCTCCAAATGCCTGAGAGGCCGGCCCTACCTCTTCTGCCCCAGGAGCACTTCCTTGCACTCAGGCTGCCCTAGCCTGGACTCCCCTCAGCAAGCAGTTTAGGTTCCCGTTACTGCTGCCCCCTGCCTCTCATACCCACATGCACTGACCTTCTCTTGAAAAGTGCAGCTCTGCTATAGCCAGAGAGCTGGAGAGCAGAGTGGAGCCCTGACTTCTCACTTGCCTCCTGGCAGGTGGAGCGAGAGAGGAGGAAGCTAAAGAGGGATTTCCTGCGCACATCACGGACAGGGGTCCTGGAGATCAGTGAAGCCACAGCGTCATCACCCACTCTTCAGGTTTACCTCTTTTCATTGACTGTAGCCTCAGGAGAGCCCAGTCCCAGCCACCAGAAACAGCCTTCTTCAGTGCATATCCCAGGCTACCCTTGCAAGAGGAGACGACCACTTCCACCAACCCAGAGAGCCCCTCCTGCCTGAGTTCTGCCCCAGCCAGCACTGCTCAGTCTGTCCTTGACCCAGAAAGGAGGCCCAGCATCAGTGGGTGGCGTTGTGTCAAGGCTGGCAGCCCTGCCTTCTGAGGAACTCAGCCTTCACTGATGTCTAATCTACCTGCTCCCACAGCCATGCCTCAGACTCCCCTGGGAGCAGAGCTCATTGGGCTTCTGGTCAGAATCCCTGGCATATGGGTGTAGAGTACGCTTGCCAGACCCTGACATGTTTAGGAGCTTGATAGCAGCTTTGCAGACCTCTCAGACCTCTTTGCCCCTCGACACACTGAATTTACACGATCAGTGTCCAAAGTATTTCCTGGGCCCGGAGTACCTTTCTTGGGTAAGGAGTTTAGGGAAGATTTCTCAAACCAGCATTCTTTTAGCTGTTATGCCCATCGCTAGGCAGCCCTACACCTTTGTAGGGAGACTGTTTCTGTGTGCTGAGCATCTCCCAGCTCTCTGTCCCCCTTCCTTTAATAAGAGCTTCCCAATGGCAGGCACCTTGTCTTACTTCCCTTTCTGCATCCTTAGCTCGGAGCCCAGGGGTAACACAAAGCAGATGCATGGTGCCTCAGCGAAGCCAGTGCTTTCCAAGCCTTTTATGTTGGTTTGGGCCTTTCCTTGCCCCAAGGCCATGGTGCCCCGTAGCATTCAGTCTCAGTTCCGACCCATAGCCCTGGCCCTGGCCCTGGCCCCGGGATTGTGAGGAGCTGGCTGAGGATCCCATGGAACCCCTGGGATGGGAAGGCCTCTTCCAACAGGAATGGCATTTGTCTTCCACAGAATGGAAGCGGACAGAAGGGCTCCTCAGAGGCCAAGCACATGGTTGAACTACAGAAAGAGGTACATTCTAGAAGGATCCATTTTCTAAGCCCCTTTCCCTCCCTTGCACTCAGGCAACTGGCTTCAGTGTCTGCGGTGTGCTTGGCCCTTTGTGCACCTCCCACAGGGAGAGGGGAAGTAGTTCCTGTCTGAGAGAACGGCAGTCTACATGGGAGACAAGCAGAGCCAAGTGGTAGCTCAGCCTCCTGTGGTTAGGGTGGGAGTGGGAAGAAAGCATGCTCCGGGCCCCAGGTCCCTGCGTAGGGGAGGACAGGGAAGGGGAGTAAGGGACAGCAGAGTCTAGGAGGGCAGACTAGAGCAAGCGGAAGTGCCTAGCCTCTGCCCTCACACCTTTACAGGCAGGACTGTTGCAGCACACCGGGCAAGCAGTCTGGCACCAGGCCCTGCCAGGATCCCTATCTCAGAGCTCAGGTCAAACCGCCTCACTCTGGGAAACTGTATAAAGTGCCTCCTAGGCCTCACTAAAGGTTCTTCCTGTCTTTCAAGGCCCTGGAGTAAAAAGAATTGTAGAATTTTTACTTCTGAGCCTGTTTTAGAAATCGATAGTCACTGCTGGCAGGGCCTGACTATACAGCTAGACCTAAGCTATTACTTTGAATTCACACAAGCAATTCCTGAGACGGCCCAGATTACGATGAGGCATGAGAGGCACCTTGTGAGTAAAACAACTTGAGGCCCTCACTGTTGTCCTGGAGTGCCTCCTTAAATTTTGCACCCTAGGAGCCTCTCTTGCCTCACCCTAGTCCTGTGTCTGCCCTGAGCTCCCAGTACTTTACCCCCTGGCAGTCTCAGTATACCCACTGAGAAATGGAGGTTTAATCAGTGATTCTCAACCCTGGCTGCACATCAGAACCACCTGGGGGAGCTTTGAAAAAAATACTGGTGCCCAGACCTAATATTAAGTCAGAATATTTCTCAAAAGTTTCCAAAAAGGACATGATGGAACTTTCTGCAGTGATTTAAATATAGGGTGTTCCCGAAAATGTATACACACACTCTGAGTAATTATAAAGGCAGTGTTTATTAAAACACATTTCATTTTCAAAATTGAGCTATCAGCTGCTAAAGTGTATATACATTTTGTTGGGACACCCTGTATTCTGCATCTTGATTGGGATAGTGGTTACACATGGGTATGTACATTATTGAATTCATCAAGATGTACTCTTCAAACATGGGCATTTTATTACCTGTAAGTTATCCCTCAGTAGAGTTGAGGAATAGTTCCGCTGTTGTTCAAGCTCCCTATTTGAGTCTCCTATGTAGCTGGGGTTGACCACCACTGGATGCTGATTCCCAGGGACCCTTCCCACAAACACCGTAAAGCCTGATTCTGATTTGTACACAGGATAGACTTGGTTCAAATGCTGGTCTTGACAAGAGCCGCAGGAGCAGAGCAGGAAGAGTTGTGGCAGCTTCAAGATCCTCAACTGCTCTCCCCCTCTTGGTTTTCTTGCCCACCAGGTGGCCCTGCTGCGAGCACAGCTGGCCTTGGAGCGGAAGCAGAAGCAGGACTATATCGCTCGCTCGGTCCAGACTAGCCGTGAGCTAGCAGGCCTGCACCATAGCCTCTCCCACTCTCTTCTTGCCGTAGCCCGGGCCCCTGAAGCCACTGTCCTGGAGGCTGAGACCCGCAAGCTGGATGAATCCCTAACTCAAAGTCTGACATCCCCAGGGCCAGTCCTGCTATGCCCCAGCCCCAGTGCTTCCCAAGCCACCTCCAGGTAGCAGCCTCAGCCAGGGCAGGATATAGGTCAGCCTGGGACCACACAGACAGATGGCTGTAGAGTGGGTCATGGCCTCTACACAGCTATAAGTTTGCCAATGGAAAGGTCTAGCTCTGTTATCCAACCTGGGAGCCCCAGGTCAGCTCGCATTCCCAGGAAGAGGGAAGGAAATCTGCAAGGCTCAGGGGAAGGCCCCAACTGACATGGGAATGAGACAAATTACCCTTGCCTGCTGGCTTTCAGAGTTCCCCAGAGGGGTGCCTTGCCCTGGCCAAGGGCATTTACTGCCTCTCGTCTAGAATTTATTACCCCAGCCCCTCACCCTCTCCTTCCCCTTCCACTTCAACAATAAACCCTAGATGTTTACATTTGTTCTCTGCTACCATCTCCACTTATGTAGCTGGGCCGCAGCAGCACCAAGGGATCTATTAAGGAAGAATTTGTTACAGGGAGGGGATGCAACTCAGAGCCCAGGACCTCTGGAGGAGCTTTGGGGCCCATCTGGAAACAGGCCATCTGGAAGCGATGGTCAAACCAGGTAGACACCTGCTGGTGGAGGCAGGCTATGCAGATGTGGCTTTAAGCTGCCCCAGAGCGTCTATAGCTCCGGGGCCAGCAGCAGAACCTCCATAGGTGCCTGTGGAAGTGCGGATACCTTACCCACAGAAGCAGCAAGGCATCTTTCAGCCTAAGACTTTGCATGCAGACCTCATCTCAGCCTATGGGACAGCTCCCTTGTCAGGCAGCTGATAGGTTTAGCTTGGTCTTAGGACAGATGATGCTTCCAGCTCCCTCCTGCTCCAATACCTCACCTCCTACTTTCAGAATAACCACCTTCTCACTCCCAGAACCTAGCAAAGGAGTAGCTAGCTCTAAGCAAACCCAGGTTCTAAAGAACAGGGGGAATAATGGGCAGGGCAGGGAGGAGGCAGCCAGGGCTGTCAGTGTGCTCCAAGCAAAGGCACCCCTCTGACCCTGGGGCACAGCGGGGAGGGGCAGGCTCAGCTCTGCTCACCACGCTTAGGAAGTGGGCAAGGGAGGAGGAAGACAAGAACTTGCGGTCTCAGGGCCCTGGATCCCTGGGGCCTTGGGATTTATTTACTCCCTCTGCCCTTCTGGGACCAGAGTTTGCCTAGACCCTAAAGGAAGTGAGGCTTCAGAGAAGAAACGACTGTGCTGACCTCACTCAAATCATTTGCATCAGCAGCCTGTTACAGTGTAGACATTATGACCTCTTTTCTCTTAGTCCTTTGTTACCAATGCCACCAGCTCTTTATGCCTTCATAGGGCCTGAAGCTCAACACCAGTGGGAGGGCTTGGAGGTAAGAAGTTGAATGAGTGTGGGGTCAGCAGAAAGAGGCGTGCAAGTCTCTACTAAGGTTGGGTGGTGCCCCTCTGAGCCTGCGTGCTCTCCATTCCCTGCACATAGTTATTTGTGTGAGGCAGGGAGGAGGGTGAGATTTAGTATTCAGATTTGGTTCCTCTTTAATTACCAGTAGTTAAGGGGAAGGAATCAGAGAAGGCTTTTATTCAGTGCCTGCACCTCCTATCTTGTTTCTTGTCTTCATCTCTCCTGTATCTGAATATTCCAGCCTTATCAGTCAGGTCCAAGAGTGTTGTCAGGCCAGGTCCAAGGCTTGTTGCTGGCCAAGAGTGGTCTGGCTTTCGAGCTGGCTGGTTTTCTCACCTTTTGCTATTGCATTAGGACTCAACAAGTCACGCCTTTGGATGTGACTGTCTTCCCTGAGTAAGGGCCCACCTCTTCTGCTTGTCTGCCCAACCCCAAATAGCCAAGCCTTGTGGATGAGATAGGATGGGCTGGTTGCCGCCCCCTCCCCCTAATCCAGCTTTTCATTCATTTGACGAATACTCATTAAACCTTTGTGTGACAAAGCTCCACAGTGGGCACCGAAAGGAGCAGTTCCTCTCCAGGGGAGACAGAACCTGGACATAACCACTCATAGAATGACCTGGATGCCCAGAAGAGACTGGCCACTCAGGATGAGGTCAGGGAAAGTGTCACAGAACATCTTGGAGAAAGAGGAGGCTTGAGGGCCCTTCCAAAGTGTTTGTTAAGCCAATTGGATACCCTAGGTGTATGGAGTCCAGGGGTGCACCTATAGGTCCTGGGAGCAATGGCAGGTTCTTGGAATTGTAAAGAGCAGGAACATCAGCCACACGTGAGCATCAGGGCAGCCCAAAACCTAAAGCCCACCATAAAGGAACAAGGCCCAGGGCAAGTGGCAGGCTGACTGAAGCACCAACCACTGGGGAAAGTAGGAAGCTATGGTCATAGACCACCAGCATCCCACTGCCCTGGCAGCCTTCATCACTCTCAACTCTCCTCACTACTCCTCCCAACATTTCACCTCTTGCCTCCACAGCTACCTGCTGAGCCATACAGGGTGCTCTGCTAAGGAGGCTGAGAGGCGGGAGGGAAGGGGGTGACATCTGGTTTGTCCTGTGACTTCCCTGGAGAAAGGGTTGATGCCCAATGGGGTCCTTCATACCAGCCCACTTATATTAAAGACCCCACCACAAGTCACATTTAGTTCTTGTATATAGGCTTTGTGGATAAGACCACCTTCACCTTGGCATTCAGTCCAGGGTCCATCTGGTAAGGGAGGAACTGGAAGTCAGGTGTAATGGAGACAGAAATGAGACGGGCAGAAGATGTACCAAAGCTGACGTGGTGGCTTTGAGAGGGGTGCCTCCTGTTCCCAGTGCAGGGCTGAGCATGAAGCAGAGAGAGGAAAGGAAGAGCCTTTGGCCCCTCTTAAGAATCTACACGAAAACTAATGTGGTTAAAAGCAAACCACCAAGCTTTTTTGGTAGATTTCCTTTTCACTTATATAAAATGAAACAATTGCATGCACATGGTTTAAAAATTAAATAGAAAAGGCGGCGACAATTTCTTACCCCATTCTTTTCCAACCTCTCTCCAGGGGCAACCAATTTTTTAAAACTGTGTAACGGGCGACTTTGTTCCTCTAAATAGTAGGTTTAGTATCTGGAACAAGATGGTGATGGGTAGCTTCACTGACCACACCTTTGGAGATTCTTGGAATCTGTCTCTGAGCCAGATACACAGTTCATCTTAGTGCCCTCGGGAGGCAGTAAATATACTCTCGGGTTTACGAGGGATATTGCATCTCTTTCGGTTGTGTGTGTATTGGATGTAGTAAATATTTGTTTTGGATACCCAGCCACTGAACACTGGATGCCCAGAAGAGACCCACTGGCCTCCTTAACTGAGGCTGTTTGGTTACCTTGAACTACTGTTTCTACCAAGAAGGTAGGATAAATGCATCCCCCTCCAGCTGATGTAATAAGTCTCCTCCAATAAATTGTTTTTATTTCTCTTTGAGTATCATTATGGTCTCAAGGATTTTTATATATTCACTGTGATTCAATCATGATTCAATCAAATTATTTTTGATACTCAAATTGTCCCAAGTTTAATGTTCCAGTTAGCTTTGTACTTTTCTTGTCCAGACCTGGACTCTTTTTAGTGGGAAAAAAAATATTTAGAAAATAAAACCTGAATTCCAGGATTGATCATTGCTATTGGGATGTTGTGACTTTTAGACCATTCAGATGACAGAGCAGAAAATGTACTTTGAAAACTAAGTTCAAGGCAGTGATTGTTGCACAGCAATATGAATGTACTTAATGCTACTGAACCATACAATTTAAAATGGTTCAAATGGCTAGAACTAATCCAAAAATTTATATGAAACCACAAAAGACCCCAAATAGCCAAAGAAACCTTGAGAAAGAACCAAGTGAGAGGGATCATACTCCCTGATTTCAAACTATACTACAAAGCTACAATAATCAAAACAGTATGGTAATTGCATAAAAACAGCTATATAGATCACTGGAATAGAATAGAATACCCAGAAATAAATCCTCACTTAAATGTTCAGTTAATCTTCAATAAAGGAGACAAAAATATATAATGGGGTAAAGACAGTCCTTTTAATAAGCTGGGAAAACTGGACAGATATATGAAAAAAAATCAAACCACTTTCTTAAACCATATACAAAAAATATATATATATCAAAATGGATTAAAGACTTAAATGTAAGACCTGAAACCATAAAACTGAAAGAAAATGTAAGCAGTAAATTCTTCTATATGGGTCTTAGCAATATCTTTTTGGCAGTGTCTCCTTGGGCAAGGGCAACAAAAGCAGAAATAATAGGACTACATCAGACTAAAATGTTTTTGTACAGCAAAGGAAACCAACAAAATGAAAAGACAACCTACTAAATGGGAAATGATACTTGCAAATGATACATTCCGTAAGGGGTCAATATCCAAAATATATAAGGAACTCCTACAATTTCCACCAAAAAAAAAAAAATTCAATTTAGAAATGGGCAGAAGACCTGAATAGACACTTCTCCAAAGAAAACACACAGATGGCCAACAGACATATGAAAAGATGCCCAACATCGCTCATCATCAGAAATGCAAATCAAAACCACAATGAGACATTGCCTCACACCTGTCGGAAAGGCTGTCATCAAAAAATCAAGTGCTGACGAGGAAGTGAACTGTTAGTACACTGTAAATTGGTGCAGCCACTATGGCAAACAGTATGGAGATTCCTCAAAAAATTAAAAATAGAACTGCCATTCCACTCAGCAATCTCACTTCTGGGTATTTATCCAAAGAAAATAAAAACACTAATTAAAAAGGACATGTGCACCCTTAGGTCCGTTGCACTGTTATTTACAATAGCCAAGATATGGAAGCAACCTAAGTGCCCATCAATAGAGGACTGGGTAAAGATGTGTATGTATAATGGATTATTGCTCAGCAGTAAGAACAAATGAAATCTTGCCTTTGCAAAAACGGATGGACCTAGAGGGTGTTATACTAAGTGAAATGTCAGAGAAAGACAAACACCATATGGTTTTACTTGCATGTGAAATCTAAAAATGAAGCAAGTGAACAAACAAAACAGACCCATAGATGGAGAACAATCTGATGGTTACCAAAGGGGAGGGGTGTGGGGGGATGGGTTAAAAAATAAATAAAATGGTTAAATTGTAAATGTTATGTATATTTTACCACAATAAAAATAATTTTTAAATTGAGTTCATACTGATTATTTCCAGTTTGAATTTAATGCCACAAGGTTTTTACTATACCTTCCTGATTGTGTATTTGGTTCCTAATATTAGTATAATTATATATTTACTTTATTCTATGACATTTATTATATTTTCAAAAATAATACCAATATTATAATAAATCTGAGTGGAGTTTTACATTTCTTTGTAGTTCTTTTTGTCCACAGGAACATCTCCCGCAAAGGATACTTGGTGTGTTGGGTTCTAAGGGAACCTGAAGTAAGTTGCTCCCTGGTGGTTATGTCATCAGTTTGATAAGCAGTTAGGTCCATTTGATTTGTCTTCCACTTTAGATTTCATCTTTTCCCCTTTTTAATTTTTTTTTTTTTAAATATATATCTTTATAGATTTCAGAGAGGGGAAAAGAGGGAGAGAGAGAGACAGAAACATCAATGATGAGTCATTGATCGAGCCCACAACTTGGGCATGTGCCCTGACCGGGAACCGAACCCCAATCGCCTGGATCCTAGGTCGATGCTCAACTGCTGAGCCACGACCGGCCGGGCCCCTTTTTAAATTTTATTTTGTGACAAGGTAGATAAATATACACAGGAGTCCCACAGCAGTGTTTGCTGTTGAGAAGCTGAAAGAAAATGCAGGCCTCTAATGCCACCAGGAATCCAATGAGAGAAAGAAGTGGGTTTTATTCAGCAGCAGAGCGATCTTCCCTCGTACACCGGAAGCCCCCGTACCTCCGGCAGTCCAAGGTCCCCTGGACTACCTGTCAGTGGGCTCCAGTGGGCTGAAGAGGCTGGGGACCAGTTCAGCTGTAGAAGGCGACCTTGCCCTCACACTGCAGCTTGGAGATGAGCTGTTTCTCCCTTTCGAAACTGTACGTGTGGCTGGTGAACCAATATTTGTCCTCCCAGTAATGGGACCACCTCAGGAATTTGTCTGTCCCAAAACCAAACAAGGATACCTGGGAGGTGGGATGGGACAGGAGAGCGCCTCGGGTAGCAGGCTGGATCCTGGCCCGCACCCATGCCCACCTACCTTTCAGCAAACGCACAACAGCGAGTGTGACAAGCTTCTTAGAACTGGGAGGGGAACAGAGCTCACCTTCTCCAGGGAAGACAGACTCTGAACACACAGAGTGACCCCAGAGCCCAGAAAAGAGAGCGTCAACTAGCTGCTCCTCGTATTGGGGAGAAAGGATTCCCCAGGGAGACAAGGGAAGGACATTCCAGGCAGAAGGAGCAGTGTGTGAGAAGGCACGAGGCAGCTGGTGTGTCTGGGGAATGCCAAGAAGCCCAGTGTGTGAGTCTGGGACAGAGCAGGGGAGGAGTCAGGTCGTGCAGGGTCCTGAAAGCCAGGTAGAAAGTTTTAGATTTAACCTGATGTCCCTGGGGAAAACAGACTTTTTTTTTTTTTTTTTTTAGTGGCAGAGGGATGAAGGTCTGTGAGTTGCAAAAGGTATCTTACCTGGTCACACGTGTGCAAGGCATAAAACAAAGCCACAAGCCCCAAAGATGGAATATAAGTGTTTCCGACGCTTGGTTGTGCATGCAGCCAATGGTCTTGCACATACTGGAGGAAGGTGAGGCTGATGATTGAGAGCTGGGGGAAATGGAGAATGCTGACCTGAGGTCCATCTTGTAGCTGCCCACAGCCACAGCGTCCTACTCCTTCCCCTTTCCTTTTTGGGTCTCTCACCTTGTCATTCCTCTCTTTGCTTCCATTGGGGAACTGGACTATTTGAAATCTAAATAAGGATTGGGAGTGGAGGAAATTCAGAGTCATTGGCACAGCGGCCCCAAGCCTACATAAGCCCTGGAGGTACCCCCATATCCAGCAAGGGTCTCTCTGGAGCTCCCCCCCCCCCATGCTGCATACCCAGGGTTTCTCAGCTTCCAGATGACATCCTGATTTTCCAGTGCTCTCATGAACCACTTCAGACCAGATGCATTTAAAGGAAGCATCAGCAGTTGGGTGGCAGGATCCTGAATGTGGGTTACCCCAGGCTGCATCATGCGTATGGTGGTCATGTTCCCCACGTCCCTCTCAAAGCCTCGGACAGGGGCCTGGTTCATCCTGGGAAGGAGGACAGGATGGACTTTGGGGGGAGGAGGAGGATTTGGCCTGACCTTCCTGGTCTCCACCTCCTACCCTGCACCCACCTGAGGACCATGTCATGCTGGTCAATCCTGAAGCCGAGGCCAGAGCCCAGTAGGGATCTTGAGTTTCCAACCACTGCACAGGTTCGGCAGCTGGACTCCACACGGGCCAGTGGGTGGCTGAGAGACATTTTAATCGGCTGCTGCTTCTGATTCTGAAATTCCTTCTCTGACTTCATGCCCTGAAGTTCATAGCATAAGAGGGAGGAATGTAAAGGCTTATCCCAGATTCCCACTATCTGTGGAAGAAGGTTAAAGTGGGGTGCGATGAAGGGAGAGACGGCCAGGGCCTGGGGCTGGGGGAAGGGACTGGACAGAGACCAAGATTCTGCACTGACCAACCACAGTAACAGAGCATCAGCGGACATGGGCTCTTCTGAACTCAGCAGGGGCTCGATGGCCCTTTCAAAGCGTTTGTCGAACCAGTCAGAGTCTCCAGGAGAGTGGAGGCAGGCAGAGCACTTGTGGATCCCAGACAAACACATGCAGTTTCTGAAAGTGTCCTCAGGGCAGTTGCAGGTCGTTGAGTGTATTCTGGCCTTTTTATTGCGATCTTTCTGACTGGACTGCTGGCCCAGGAAGGAGGCCATCAACCACAACGTAGGCATACAGATGGCCACCAGACCCAGCTTCAAGTGTTGAGTCTTCATCTCTGGCCTTGGTCAGTGATGGTACCTCAGCAAACAGGTAAATTAGCTCTAATGCCTGGTACTTGGAAAGAGGAGGGGCTGGGGTCAACAGACATCGCCAGTGTTCCCTGTCCTGTGGCTTCTATCCCTCCCCCAACCCCTCACCCTACACCTCCTCCTAACACCTCACCCCTCGCCTCCCCAGCCACCTGCTAACCTCTAAAAGAAATTCTGCCAAAGCCAGGGGCTAGAGGCTAAAAGGACAGGAGAGGTGACACTGTGTCCTTTGGTCTCCCAGAGGAGACTGGTGCTCAGTGAAGTCTCTCATGCCAGCGCAGTTATATCAGGGATCTCATCACAGAGACCACATTGTGACCTCCTCTACGTAGGCTACTGGCAAGGCCCCCTCCACTTTAGCATTCAGCTTGGAGTCCAGCTGACAAGGGAGGCTTGAAACCAAGTGTTCAAGGGACAGGAGGGCAAGGAGGAAGCAGCTATGTGAAGGTCTGGCGTGGGTGAGCAGGAGCCAGAAAGGGGAAAGGAAGGGCCACCTGGAACCTCCCGGGTCAAAGAGAACTTACCATATCAGCATATTCAACCATTAAAGCCCCTCAGAGATTGAATGTCTTTTCTTTCTGAAAATTGTGACCAAGATAAATACATGAAAATTGTTCTTTCCAAAAGAAAATCACGCAGCCCAGAAAGGTTTCTGATGGGGAACAGCCTCCTGCTCCCCTCCCCTCCTCTTCCCTGGCAGGCTCCCTTCACCCGCTCGCCTCTACCGCCCTGCTGGCTTTCACGTCCGTGTTTCTAAAGAATATGCCTGTACCACTGCATCATGAGACTGAATATAGACGACCCGCTATGTATGATCGCTATGCTTAGTAACTGCTACTTGGTCACTTTGTAACTTTACATAATGGATCCTAATCTGTATTTCTCATCTTGTCACTTCAAGACAAGGTTTCTTGAAGCCCCTTCTATAAGATGGGAGTATTGTGTCTATACACTTCTATTTGTCAGTTGTTTTCTCCTTATACTTCCCAATATCATTATATTGAACTTTTACCTCACCAAGGATAACATTTACATCCTGTTACGGAAGCATTCTGCTGCATCATTAAGTCTCACATGCTTTGTTTATAGCAGTGCTATCCAAAAGAAATATGTGAGCCACATACAGTTTTCTAGTGTCCAAAGTTAAAAAAAGAAAAAAGAAACAGAAAATTCATTTTAATAACATATTTAACCCAGGATGCCTAAATATTATCATTTCAACATGCACTTTATATAAAAATATTATTGAGATATTTTGCATCCTTCTTTTTTGAAACTAAGCCTTCTAAATCCAAATTGTATTTTACTCACATTATATCTAAATTTGGACACTCAATTCTCATCAGAAATATGTGATCAATAGATTTTATAAAATTTTATGATCTAAAAAGTAGATTTACATGTCCAGGTTGTCACAAGTATACTTAAAGGTTTCCAATGACTACACTGTGTTCATTTTAAAATTTAGATTAAAATTAAGATAAAATTTCAATTGCTCACTTGCACCAGCTACACATTTCACATACTCATCCACCATATTGAATGGCTGATTCTAAGTCACAAATCTGTTATCAGTGTCTACATTATTGTGACTGGGTAAATATGTTTTTTATAGAGTCTGGTAGTGAACTAGGACTACTTTCCTTTTATTCATTATAATTTCCTAAGAAAGAGTATATAGGACATAACATTTCTGAATCTTTGCATGTCTGTAAAACTCATTATCCTGTCTATAGTGGGTAGAATTGTGCCCCTCTCTCCAAAAAATATGTTCCAGTCCTGCCCCCTGGTACCTGTGAATGTTACCTTATTGGAAATGGGGTCTTTGAAGATGTAAGAGTTAAGATGAGGTCACACTGGATTAGGATGGGCCCTCAACCATTGACTGGTATTCTTATAAAATGAGGGGAATTTGAGAACATGTGAAGGGGAAGAGTGCCATGTAAAGATGGAGGCAGAGATTAGGATGATGTGTCTACAAGCCAAAAAATGGCAAGACTTACAACCACCAGAAGCTAGGAGAGAGGCATGGAACAGATTTTCCCTCAGAACCTTCACAAGTCATCAATCTGAATTTGGACTCCTAGCCTCCAGAATGGAGAGAATAAACTTCTGTTGTTTTAAGCTACGTAGTTAGTGGTAATTTGTTATGCCAGCTCTAGGAAATTAATACATTGCCTTTGGCCTCAATTGATAGTGTAGCTGGGTATAAAAGATTCTAGGTTGAAAAAAAAAGCTCCAGAGCTTGAAGACACATTCTATAATCTTCTAGCCATCAGTGCTGTTAACAAGAGTATGTTTGTGTGTTTTAACAAGAGTACAATTTTTTCTTAATCATCACCCAAGGATATTTTTTCCATTGCTTTTCAGAGATAGTGGAAG